AAGGTCTCGTGCTCAGAGCAGCTGTAGGCACTCAGATCAGGGGAAACAAGTTGTTTACAAGAAATTCAGGATCTGGGGTCTCACTGCTCCCAACACTGACTGCTCATGACTAGCTTCATACTGTAGAAGATGCGTGGTAGCATGAATAATGAAAACACAGAGACAGATATTGGGTTCAACGTGAAGACCAGAAAAGCAAACCAGCCGAGCCACGAGAGAACTCTTACCTCCATGAAATCTTCAGACTGAAAGAGAGCGAGCTGTTCTCTCATCCTGCCCTTATATCCTTCTCTAGTGCTGGGATTAAAGGTGTGCACCACTGCCCAGCCTCTATGACTGACTAGTGTGGCTGCTGGGATTAAAGGTGTGTGCCCCCACTGCCTGGCCTGTATGGCTGACTAGTGTGGCTGTTTTGCATTCTGATCTTCAGGCAGGCTTTATTTATTAAAATGCAAGTGAAACATCACTACAATATATACACAGAAGAGGAAGAAATGCAATCTTCCTATTTCTCTTTCATGGAACAGTTTGAGGGACATTAGTTCTAGGTCTTCCTTAAGATTTTGGGAGATTCTTCAGTTTATTCATTATTATTTAATTGAAATTTTACATACCCACTCCCTCCCCAGTTTATTTTCTTTGATATGAGTTTTTAGAGTTTTCCTTGCTGGGATAGGGAAACTGAGGGATTGCTAGGTAGGTAAACCCCTTGCCTACAAGTGTGACAGCCTGAGTATGGATCTGCCTTACCCACACAAATGCAAGGCAAGCGTGGTGACCACCCATACCAGTGCTGGGGAGGCAGAGACAAGGGATCCCTGTGGCAAGCAGACCCAGTTAGACTAGATGAATCCAAGAGCTCTGGGTTAAAGTGAGAGGCCTTGCATCAAAATACAAGGTAAAGAGTAACTACACAAGACATACAACTTCAGTTTCTGGCCTTCACACGCGCACACCCACCAAACCAAACAAAGAAACAAAAGACAGCTAACTCCCACAAAAACAGACACTGGAGAGAGAGAGCCTCTTCAACAATTGGTGTAGGAAAAAGCTGGATGTCCACATATAGAAGAATAAAACTAGATCCATGTCTCCCACCTCGTACAAAAAGAAATTCAAAATGCTGCAGAGACCCAGAGGTAAGGCCCAATACCTTGAGAATGCCAGAGAAAAATACTTCAAAACACAGACATAGAAAAGGACTCCAGGAAACAATCCAAAGAGCCAACGGGTGGGGTTGCATGAAATCAAAACCTCCTGCCCAGAAAAGCAAACAATAACCAAAGTGAAGAGACAGTTTACAGAATGGGAAAACATATTTGCCAATTACACATCTGATGTGGAATTAATAGCTGCAATCTATAATGAGGCACAAGAATTAAACATTAAAGATCCCAAATCATTGGGCCAAATGAGCTAATGCATCAAGCAGACACTTCTCAACAGAAGAAATATAGATTGCCAATAAATGCTTGCAAAGTGTTCAACACCCTTCAGCATTAGGAAAATACAAATGGAAACTGTGCTAAGATTCTTTCCTGCTAGTCAGAAGGACCATAATCGAGAAACCAAACGACAACAAATGCCGGCAAGGATGTGGAAAGGGGAATCTTTACGCAGATTTGGTGTGAATGCAAACGTGTGCAATCTCTATGGAAATCAGAACGGAACCTGACCAAAGGGCTAAAAATGGAGCTGTTCAATGATCCAGTTACTCAACTCAACAGATTATATTCGAATTACATATTCAAGCTGGGACAAGCATAATAACACACATGCAAATGCCATAATTAAGTCCATTAACCCGTATAGTTAGTGTTGCTTATCAACTTGATAGGATATAGGACCACCTAGGAGACAACCTCTGGGCATGTCTGTGAGTGATTTTAGATCACTGAGGAGAGAGATGCATCCTAGATGTGGGTGGTTCCATTCCAAGGGCTAAGATTCCTAATTAAATAAAAAGGAGGCAAGCTGAGAACCAGCTTTCATATCTGTCTTCTTACTCTCTGTGGATGTAGTGTGACCAACTGCCACACCCACCTATTGCCATGACTTCCTCATGCTGAGAAACTGTACCTTCAATAAGTTGTTTTATTTACCAATAAAGACTTGGGAGTCAGATGTTGGGGTGAAAACCTGCTAGATCGGAGAAGCTAAGAAGAAAATAGCTGACAGTTATTATTGGCCAGAAACCCACTACGAGAAGCATCTCTCCACACATTCAACCAAAACAGCCTGCAAATCTCTAAGTCCCTCCCTACTTTTTCCTGGGTCCTCCATACTCTCTATGGCTAATTCTTGTCAATTCGTTGCTGGCTTCACCCCCTGATCCAAGGGTCTCAGAGTTTCACAGTGCAATCAAATATCCAACAACATTTCCCCCTTTTTGTCTAAATCAAAAGGAAAGGTTTTAAACTCTAACACAGTAAAACTATATGCAGTAAGAATTCAATGGAGAATGACATTCACAGTGTCTGCTCCATTAGTATTTGGCAAATTCGGGGAAAGTACTCAACTATCTATCCCGTCTTGGTGAGTTCAAAGTTCTATGACTAAACAACTTTCTAACTTGTACCACCAATCTAGAAATATCTTTTTAGACCTTAAAATATTTTCTTAGATAAACAACTTAAGTCTTTACGCTTTTCAACCTTATAAACTTTACATCTCTTTTGTTTCACAGTGCCATCAACTCCCGCAACAGCCAGCTTTTAAAGAAAATGTGGTCTATCTATACAAAGGAGTATTACTCAGTGGGAAAAAAAAAACAATGACCTCATGAAATCCACAGGCAAATGGATGGAACTAGAAAAAAAATCATCTATCCTGAGTGAGGTATCCCAGACCCACTAAGATAAACATGGTGTGTACTCACTCATAAGTGGATGTTAGTTGTATAGTAAAGGATAACAAAACTACAATCCACAGCCCCAGAGAAGCTAGGCAACAAGGAGGACCCAAAGAGAGGCACATGGATTTTCCTAGGAATGGGAAATAGAAGAGGTGTCCTGGGTAAACTAAGGGCTGGGGTGGTGGAGGTATGGTAACATGAAGGATTGGTTGGGCAGTTTGGAGGTGGGACAAATGGGGAGAATAATGAAAGAGATATCTTGATGGGGGCTAGGGAGAAACCCGGTGTCAGGGAACCTCCCCGGAATCCACAAGGAAGACTCCAGCTAAGACTCCTAGCAATAGTGGAGAGGGTGCTTGAACTGGCCTCCTCCTGTAATCAGCTAGGTGACGATCCTCATGGTCATCAGGGAGCAGTCTTCCAATAACTGATAGAAGCAAATGCAAAAATTTCTAGCCAAACACTGGGCCAAGGTCTGGGAGTCCTGTTGAAGAGGGAGAGGAAGGATTGTATGAACCAGGGGATTCAAGATCATGGCAGAGGAACCCACAGATACAGCAGGCCTGAGTTCATGGAAGCTCACCAAGTCTGGACCAATAGTTAGGGAACCTGCATGAGACTGACCTAAGCCCTCTGCATGTGTGTAACAGCAGTATAGCTTGGCCTGTTTGTGGGACTCCTGGCAGTGAGATCAGGATCTGTCCCTGGTGCTTGAATCCATTCCCTATGCTGGGTTACTTTGCCCAACCTTGATGTAGGGGGAGGATGCTGGTCCTGCCTCAACTTGATGTGTCGTGCTTTGTTGACTCCCATAGGAGGCCTGCCCATTTCTGAATGGAGATGGAAGAGGAGAGGGTGAGCAGGGGGTGGTAGTGGCAGAAGGGAAGTGGTGGAGGAGAGGAGGGAGGGGAAACTGTGGTTGGTATGCAAAAAAAATTTAAAAATAAATAAATAAATAAATGTTTAAAAATGTTGAGCAAAGAAAAAGAATGAGATATCAATATGTACGACTGCATGGTTGAGCCATGAAAACATGATGCTAAGAAGCAAGCCAGTCAAAAAGGTACCTGGAGGACATAAATCCACCATCTAAAGTAGTCAGGAGAGGTAAGTCTGCAGAGATGAAGTGTTTTCTGTAGAGTAAATTGGGCCAGCTTGTCCAGGTAGAGAAAGATACAGCGGTTCATTTTAAGATGATGAAAATCTTGTAAATTGATTGTGGCAATGATTACACAATTCTAAATACATCAAAAGTATTTATGTTACTGAGTGTATACATTATATTTTTGCTTACTTTTTATGTTTTTATTTTTAGAGTATTTATAGTTCGATAAGGCTTAGAAAAAAACTAATCAAGATTAGACCTGCTTGACGGTTTCTTTACAGTGCCCTGGACCCCAAAAACACACACCTGGATGTGGGACAGAGAACTCGCTGTGGCAAAAAGTTAGGGGCTGCCTGAAGGATAGGGGTGAACTTCGGCTTTGTGTGTTTTCAAGTTGTGATAGTGTCAACTAATCCGGAGCTGTCCAGTGTGGGAGCCTTCAGCCACGTGTACTCATCGGGCTCCTCAAATGTGGGTGACCCAGTTGAGATGAATATGTACACACCAGACTTTGGAGAGTTGGCATTAACACACACACACACCCTAATTTTAATAACATTTCAGATATACTTTTAAAATTTCGGATATAATTTTAAAAATTGCAATGCTTTCAATACTTTTACAAATTTAAAAGGCCATACTCTCTGAGAAGAGAAGGCTTCCCCAGGAGGGCTGGCTGTACTGACACATGGGTATCCCCTGGATAGTAGGGGAGACATTAGGTGAGGAGGCAGCTCATAGACGATGGAGCGTGAGCTTGGAGGGAAGAGGGACACGAGGGTGATAATGTGCTTTGCCTTGAGCTCCACTTATTTTCCTTTTTGGCTGTTTTCTTTTTAAACAGAGTATCTTTATACTTTGACAATTTTGTATTATGTGTACAATATATGTTAGTCATATCTACTTGAACTCTCCATCCCCAACATGTTCTTTCAGGCTCTCTCTCTCTCTCTCTCTCTCTCTCTTTCTCTCTTTCCCTCCCTCCCTCCCTCCCTCCCTCCCTCCCTCCCTCCCTCCCTCTCCTCTCCCATCATACTTTAGTGCTGCCTGTTGGAATGTTGACTGATGTTGGCTTGGTTTCGTGATATCATGTGAGCAGACATACCCGGGGTGAGTTCGGGAGCAGGGTCACGGAATGTCCTGAAGGCCGCATTCCACAGCTCTCTTCCCCATCCCTCAGCTCTCACCTAATGCTTTGTCTTCCATGATGTTCCCTGAGCCTTGGGTGAAGGTTGCTATAGATACCCTTTTGAGGGCGAGCACTCAATAGTCACCTATTCTCAGCACTTTGAGTGAGGAGTCTCCATTAAGCCTGAGCACTGCAGAGAGAGGCTCCTCTGGCTAAGGTTGAAGGCAGTGCTAATCTATGTTTATAAACATTAGTATTTAGAAGCCAGCTTGACAAAGTGTTCATTTAGCAAGACAACAGCTGTATAAATTCCTCCCTAGGGCCTATAACCTCCTGACTCACAGTTGTTTGGCCAGGTTTACGGGTACCAGAAAGGATTTCCTTCCTGTTGATTAGATCTGACTTAAGAATGGTTGGTTACCTCATAACCTTTGGGCCCCTATTGCACCAGTGGGCACATCCTTTAGGCATTTCTTTAGATCTTGAAGCCTGTGCCTTTAGGAGCCGTGATAACTATTCTTGGTTTTAAATTGATTCCATTTCAAATGAACTAAAAACTCAAGCTGCTGTGAGGGATTTTTAGTTAAGTGGATCTTTTGAGGTAAGAAGACCCACCTTAAATCCTTAAATTTGAGATCAGAAGACCCACCCTAAATCTGAGCCACACCTTCTTATGATAGCCTAGTTAAAGGATAGGAAAGAAGGAAGATTTTGCTCTTTGCCTGCTTTCCCTCGCTCTCACTGGCAAGTGTTATGGAATAATCTTTTTGTACACTGTGAAGAAATGCCATTTGGATTGATTTAATCAAAAAGCTAAATGGCCAATAGCTAGGCAAGGTTTTGGGGTCAAAGAGGACTCTGGGAAGAATAGGGGTGGAGTCAAGAGGAGACACCAGGAGATGCAGCGCAAGCAGCATGGGCTTTACCAAGTAAAGGTAACCAAGGTACGTAAAAGAATGTAGATGAAAAGATATGTTAATTTAAGTTATAAGAACTGGTTACATACGAGCCTAAGCTATTGGCTGAGCTTTCATAATTAATAAGAAGAGTGGTTATTTGGGAGCTGGCTGGCAGAACAGGAAAAGTCTGACTACAGGCAAGTTCATTCCTTCACTGTTCTTAGAGCCTACTTCTTCGAGATCCTGATGTGTGCTGAAGACCATCTAAGACATCCAGCCTCGTGGGCTGAGCAACAACTGGATTCTTAGACTTTCCGTTTTAGATAGCCATTGCTAAACTAGCTGGACCACAGCCTGTAAGCCACTCCAACAAATTTCCTGTATATAAATACAGTCTCATTTTGTCGTTTCTGTTCCCTAGAGGACCCTGACTAACGCAGGAGCCAAGAGCTGAGCTCTCAAAGACCTCTCTGTCTCTGGTTATGATTTTAAAGGAATAAGTGGTGGGGGCAGGGGCCGTGCTTTACTTCTTTCTCAGTTTTATAAACATATTTAACCACACATTTCCCTGAGCAGCAGAGATAGATCATTTGGGAACGGTGGCAGCTGTTCTTGCTTGTCAACTTGACTCCTGGAATTAAACATTCTCTGTTAAACAGATTCCGAGATGGGGAACATAAGAGGGGTCAAAAGGAAATCCCAGAGTTCTCGGTTCAGGGAAGTAGACCTCATTGTGTCCAGTAGAAAAGCTGATTCCGGTAGAGACGTGTGGAGGGGCAGAAGGAAGGGGTTTTGCTGTCTCGGCATTCACACAGTGACTGGACAAGCGTGGAGGCTGCTGTCATCCTTTAGCTTTGATTGCCCATTTGTTGTGGTCGTTTGATAAGAATTTGAGTTTGCTAACTGAAATCAAGTCAGTGGAAGTACTGAGGGTCTTATTTGAGAAAACAGGGCCTTGGCTTTGGTGGCAGGTTTTTTTTTTTGTTTTTGTTTTTTTTTTTTTTGCATTTGTCTGTTTTTCTTTTTTTGTTTTTTTTCACACAGAACTTTAAAAGCTGAAGATGAAGTTTTGAAGAAAGTTAGAAAATATTAATGGGAAAGCCTTGTCTCAAACCGCATCTGAAAGCCAGTGATCGAAAGGCTGGCATTTGTCCGAGGAACCGCTCACAAATTACCTTTCCTCTATGAGAAGAAAAAAAAAATCTCTTGCAAAACTTTGATCTTGCCTCCCGACTTCTACCGCCCAGTCACTAGACAGTGAGCTGATCAAAAGGCCAGAGGAAGCCGGGCAGCGGTGGCACGTGTCTTTAATCCCAGCAGAGGCAGGTCAGTCTTCGTGAGTTTGAGGCCAGCCTGATCTACAGAATGAGTCCCAGGACATCCAGAGCGACACAGAGAAACCCTGTCTCAAGAAACAAACAAAAACAGAAAGACCAGAGGAAAAGCAAAGCAGATGAGTCGCACCAGAATCATGACAGCATTGCCACAACCACCGCGATAACCAGGTTGAATTGAGCCAACAACGGCCTATGAATTATTAACACCGCTGCTGCACTCCACCAGTGGGGATGAAATGAGCCTACTTACTGCAGTATAAAGACGGAACCATGGCGAGATTACTCTATTTGACTGCAAGTCTACAAAGTCATTTCATGGGCTTTAGCTTTCTATGTGATGTAATTCCAGTAATCGACAGTAGGTGGCAGTAATGAGTCCCTTTTTGCAATGCTGAAAGCAGTTGCCAAAAGAAAAAAAAAATGCTTGAGGAAGTACTTGAATTTCTTACTGCTATGCCAGAGAGGCAAGTTGTCTTGGTAAGTAAAACAAATTACTCTGTTTAGAAATAAGGACAATGCTTGTTGCCACGTGGAAATAGAAAATATCTCTATAATCAAGTTGTGCATGTTTCTCTAAGTAGGCTTGCTTCTGGTAATTACTTACTGTGAACTGTGTGGCTTGAAACTAGTGTTTGTCCAACCTAAAGCAGAGAAAACCTTCAACCTTCATCTTGTGTGATTTGTTTTTAACAGCTCCTGGGTGTGTGTGGGTGTGTGTGGAAGGTGGGAGGGAGGGAGAGGGGGGGAGAGAGGGAGGGAGGGAGGGAGGGAGGGAGAGAGAGAGAGAGAGAGACAGAGAGAGAGAGAGAGAGAGAGAGAGAGAGAGAGAGAGAGAGGAGCATTTGGTCACAAGTGTTTTTTTTGTTTTGTGGACACAGCTATTTTTGATTTTAAGTGACCTCTCCTCTCCCTCCCCTCCCCTCCCCTTCCCTCTCCTCTCCTCTTCTCTCCTCTCCTCTCTCTTCTTCCCTCCCATCCTCTCCTCTCCCCTTTCCTCTCCTGTTCCCCATCCATATTCCTTTCATTGAAATGTTCAGAAGAATGGACAAGCTGGGACCTGCATACATTTGAGTGACCACACCATCACAATAAGTAACGATCAGAATTCCACATGTTGGAACTTACTACCCTCTGTGAGGCACCAAGAGAGAGGAAGCTCAATCTGACGATGGCATTTGGAGGTGGCCCTTTGGGAGGAAACTAGAATTGGATTCAATCAGACCATCAGAGGCCCATGGTTGAATACTGGTGGCTTAATAAAAGCAGGGGGGAGGAACCAGAATACACATATATGTCCCATCTCTTGCCTTGAGATGCCCCTTGCTGCCTAGGATTCTGCTATCACAGTCACTGCCAGATGTGACCCCTTGACTGTGGACCAAAACTGTAAGTAAAATTAACTTCTTTTCTTTGTCAAGCAGTCTGTCTCAGGGGTTTGGTTATACCAGGGAAAACAGTCTGCACAGTGGAACTCAGTTTCTCCGGGACAAGCGCTGTAACACACAGCTCCTTGTTAATTCCTTGCTAATGGAGAGGGTTACTTTCATTTTTATTCTGGTCTATTCTTACTGAATATTCTTGATGTTTTCCGAGACTATAGAAACTGTTCTGGGGAGCTGGAGGTCAAGGTGGAATTGTAGGGTTTGAAAATGCTCCCCAAGCCACATCCAGATGAATGCAGGAGTGTGTGCAGTCACACAGGAAGCCAACCAGAAATACTTGCCTGCCGTCCAGACCTCCCACGGCTGTTTAATAGTTACTCTAGCTCAGAGAAAACTCTTCACACATGTTTGAAGAACTGAATTTAACGAGCCACATTCATTGTGGGGGTGTTGTCCTATTTAAGATCAACCGAACCCTGATTGATATCCCCAGAGTTTCTGAGCAGAGGTAAGGCAAACACGTTAGTTCCTTGTGCCATTTGATGCCAGCTAAGCTTGTCCTGGCTCATAAAAATGGACGTACGTGTATCTGAAGGCTTTTATGCTTCGAAAGTCCCTTTTCACAGCCCAGTTAATGAATCATCCTTTTCTAGTTAATGGTGAGATGGTTTTGAGGTTCTAAAATAGACGGGGTCAGTGACTATCATTAAGACTCTGCTCAACGATGTTTTGGCAGGGCATGGTGCTACATACATCCCAGCATTTTGGAGGCTGAGACAGGAAGATCACTGTGAGTTTGAGACCATCCATTTTACATAGCTACAAAGTAAGTTCTAGGATAGCCAGGGTTACGTATTGGGAGGTGTCCCCAAAACAAAAACGGTAACAACAGGAATTTGGTTTTGTTTGAACAAGAAAATTTAGATTCTGATTTTCAGTGACTTTAGCAAGTTTATTATCTACAACTTATAGCTCCAAATATCTAAAATTATTTAGATATCTAAAAGTCTCTAAACAAATATCTAAAATTGTTTCTTAATGTTTATAATACTTTAATTATTTTTGAAAAACACTATTTCTTTATCTGGAGTGTGTGCCTGTGTTTGCGTGTGCACACGTGGAGGTCTTTGGGATGCTGGAGCGGGATAGTTGGGACATTTCTCAGCCTTTCCCAGGGCAATCAGTGCGGTGCAAAGGCTAGCCTTGCTTTTCACGTGAAGGTTGATGCGGCCATCTTTATTGCTCAGAGATTTCCTGGTGGAGAACTCAGAATAGCCAGGACATCCGTGGACACCCCTGCAGAAAGGTCAGCCTGGGGAGAGCTCTGCATGTCTAGCCTGGGGAACTTTTATAGCACAGGGC